CCTGTTTTAGACTTTTTTATTTCACCTGTTTTGCTATTTAATACATATCGCATTGCGGTTCTGAGGGCTCCCTGCTCGGTCATTGGTGTATAAGGTGGCTTCCCTTTAAGTAGGTTTCTGGGTGTTCCGCTTTAGCGGGGTTGTGGCGGGTGTGTCGGGTTGTGCTGTGGGGTTTTGGTCGGGTATTTCTGTGGGAGCGGCTACAGTTTTCAGTGGGAACGGCTATGGTTTTCAGTGGGAACGGCTATGGTTTTCATTGGGAACGGCTATGGTTTTCATTGGGAACGGCGACAGTTTTCAGAGGGAACGGCTATGGTTTTCAGTGGGTGTTTGTTCTTGAAAAGTCCTTGAAACTGTCTAAAGGATAGTCCCATAATACTATATGGAGAACTTTGAAGATGATAATTATAAGTTATGTTCAGGTTGTAGAAAGATGAAAACAATAGACAATTACAAATCTAATAGAGAACTTTGTAATGAGTGTCTGGAAAAGAAGACACAATATAGGAAAAACAACAAGGACAAATTGAAGAATGAAGCAAAGGTTTATTATCAAAACCATAGAGAAGAAATACTTGAAAACAGAAAAGAGAAAATAGAATGTGAATATTGTAGATGCTATATATCAAAAGCAAAACAAACTCAACATTACAAAACCAAAAAACATATTAAGAACAGACAAGAAATGATTAAGTTTATCGTTAGTGAATTAGACAGTTAAAATATATATATATATATATATTTACAAAAGGAATAATTAACAATCATATTAAAATATAATATGATTGTTGAACTGACTTTATAAAAGGCTATGGTAAGCCCACCCAGCTTCGCTTTCCCGCCCTTTTGCCTACGGCATATATCATAACCAACAACCTATATATTATAATGAATAAGGTAATGTTAATGAAATTTATGAATATCATTAATAAAGCGTGTGAGGTGATGATGTCCCAGAAAACGAATGAGACGATATTATGAATTTTAGAATGAATAAGGGGGAGGTTTATGATAATGATAAAAACGGGTGGAAAAGTACTTAAATAAAAATGGTGGTGAGAAACGGATGAGGTGGCGATGATGATGATGAGGTAAAGGACGAAATGAATGAAGGGGTGAAAACAATGATAACGAATAAGGTGGCGCTGATGATAGGAATGAAGAAGGAGAAGATATAGGAGAGTGAATAAGGGTAAGAATATGGTATGATACAAGACCCAGAACCCGCCGTGATACAACCCCAGACCCAGTATGGCTACACCATAGAACCAGCCTTTTACCAATTTTTTTCCCCCCCCCCGCTGCCACCTCTTCCCGAAGGTTTGCGAAGCGCCGCAGCTGTAACAAGCTGGAGATTGCAGAGCTTGCCGTCTCGGCCCCTCGGCTGGGGGCTGGCCTTCGAAACATGAGAACTCGCTGCGTCCAGAAGACTTGGCCGAGGAGTCTTGGCTGGCGAAGCCAACATCCAAGGCCGGCCGGAGGGTTGCGCTGCCCTTTCCTTGGACTCTGTCTTAGCTGTCAGCTGGTTCGGCTCTGCTTTCTTTTTGGGAGGTGTTTCGAGCAGCTCGTGCTGCGGTGGCGACGGCCTGGAAGCTGGAGGAGTCGGCGGTGCTGGCGGTGCGGGAAGGTGGCCGGAGCCTTGGAGGTTTCAGCTAGGGGCCTTTGGGGCCCCCCCTTTTTTGTGGAGTCTTTATTGCCCGAGGAACCATTGCGATCTTGCCGCTGCTCGAGGCAGAGCTGGAATGTACCTGGGCGTTGTGCGTTTTTGGGGCTGTTGCTTTGATAAGACGGCCGTTCATCTGAGGTGATGTAGTGCAGATGGCCTTCAGTCAGGACTCCGCTGAGTGCCGGTGTGAAGAAACACACTTCTGCGCTTCCAGCCTCTGTGCTCTGTGTCCCCCAGGCATCTGATGCCGTTCATCTTCCCAACGAGCGGATGTCACGTAGCGTTCTGGCACGGGCAGTTGATGCCATAGCAGGTGGCACGCCAGCTGTTCTTGGACTTCGCGTCTCTGATTCTGAACGGCGGTGCATAGATCTGCAACGCCTTGGCTCAGGCACGCTGTCGCGACTGGCCGATACGGCGGCCACGTGAAATTGGTTGAGCTGAGCTTACCTCGAAACTTTTGAATCTGATTTTCATGAAGTGTACATACCGTTTTTGTGAGATGAAAGTGGGCCCAGTGCACAGACTGGCACGTGATGGGTGTTGCCCGGAGAGGGGTTGGATAGACTTCTACAGCCTCGAATTTGAATGCAGATCGGTGGTTGTGACCTGGCGCTCCTGAGACGGAATCGATGAATAAGGCCATCAACAGAAAGCTCTTCCCTGCACTTAGAAGGCTGTCCTCCTGAGAAGCCAGACCACGAGACCTGTTTTCCAGCAGGCATGGCGTCCCCCGTGGAAGTTTGAAGATTGCAAGTCGACCTGCGTGGAAGCTCGCCCTAGCATTGGCATAGTCTGAAAATTGAAGGAGGCAGCAAGCACAGGTAAGGAACGAGAAATGCTTCAGGGAGAGGCCGCAGGGACGGGACACCTTGCGATTTTGACACTGCAAGAGTTATGGATGATGGCCCATGCAATGAGCTTGACTCCTGGACTTCCCAACATGCAAGGCGCTCTTGCTTAGTATTTTGCATTGCGGGCCGCTTGTTTCTGCAATGCAGAACAATGTGTTCCAGCACTCGCACCGTGCTCGACTGTTTCTTTGTTGGCGAGACGTGCTGCGAGCAATGCTGGGTTTGAATGGACGGCAACCCCCAGACCTTTGCGCCCCTAGGCCGGCACGAGAAGACCTAGACCTAGGCGCTAGGGACTAGGGACCTATCGTGAAGACACATTCAAACCCCACTCTCGGGCAGCACAGCTATGCACAGCTGTTCGACTTTATGTCAGACGTCGGCTTTGTGATGCCGAGCTGTTCAACACAGCCTCTTAAAACGTGGCCAGCAGATACCATTTCTGGTTCTAAGCCGAGCTTGTCGGAGTTTGTGAGGTGGAGCAAGAGGACCCAAGAGCCCAGGCGCGGTGGTCCTGGTCGGCCACCGAGGGTGCATGGCACTGCACTTACGACGAATGCCAGCTTTACCTGCATCCTGAGGCCCCAACAAGGGAGCTCGCTGCACAAATCGCCGGCGAGGCAACTGCCACAGATGGAGGGTGGGACGGTGGGTCTGGTTAAAAGGTGTTCTGGCAGCTTTGCCGAGGTTTGTCACGCCTTGAGGTTGCAGGGATACAAGAGCATTCAGACCCTTTTTGAGGCATCCTGGTTGGTGGCTGGGACGTCCGTCAACGTCGCTGCCATCTACGGCGGAGTGCATCTTGCTGGCACTCTTCAGTGTGAGCCACTGTGAATGCCTGAATCCCTGGAACCTTAAATTAAGATTTCAACCCCTTAGGCCGAAACACGGCATCCCAGAGAGTCCTTAAACGGGTATCTGTGGTTCAGGCCGTAGCACTTCAAATGTTCTGGCGATGGTTGTTGGCGTTAGCTTGGGTTTGGTTCAAGAATACCGAGAATACCGGTGGTGGATGCTTCGAGGTCGGAGTGCTTTTAGGAGCCTTCAAGAGTCGAATGTTTAAAAAGAGAGACTTCCGAGTCAGCGACTTCCGGACCTCGGGTTTCTCGGAGGCCGTACCGAGATACCCGCGACGCGCTGTCGCGGGGCGCCGACCTTCTGGTCGCCACGTCAGAAGCCCAGTATGTCAGTTCCAGCATGTCGCAGTCACCTGGTCGCCTTCGGTCAACGTCTTGCAGTTGGCTAACTTCTCTATTCTGGAGAGTAGGGATGATCGTATATTCGTGCGGCAGGGCGCGGGTCTGTGGTCGATACTGCGTGTCGTGCGAAGAGTCTTGCTGCCCGTCGAGGGTCTTTTTTCAGCCTTGCACAGGGGCAGTCTTCCGCCCTTTTCTGAGGCCGGGTCGCTTGGAGGATGCATGTGTTCGAGGCCAGGGCTTGCAGTTGACGACTTGTTGACAACAGATCGCAACATATAGCAGCACGGGACTATTTGCCTTCCTGCGATGGGACAGAGGGCACACTTCTTGCGTTTGCCACCCATATCTTCAACACAACCATCAAGCAACGAGGCTTGATGCTGGGTAGGAGGACGATCAACGCCATGAGTTGCAACTTCAAGCCGACGGGGCATGGTCGTCATAACAGTGATAAGCCTGGCAGGGGAGACGTTGCTTGAAGCTGATATTCCCACGCCCGTGACTTGGGCAACAGATCGTTGAGAGGCCTGGGCCGACGACACGCTTCGACAGACTCCTTCGAGACAGCGAGTCTTCGATCTTTCTGCCGAGCTATGTGTCATGGCTGAAGAGGCCATCAATCTTCATGAAGTGCTGCCTCAAATTGGCGAAGGAGGACAAGACTTCCTTTAGCGGAGAAGGTTTGGCGGCATGGAGTCGACACATCATGTGCTTCTGCTTCCAGACGGGCGGAACTTGGCAAAGTGTCATCACGAGAGCGAGTACACGGCGCGTAGCAGTGACTCAACGCAATCCCCGGATCCTGTCAGTGTCTTCATCAGCTTTCGCGTGATGGAGCGTTGAGGTGGTATTCTAACCCGCTGGCAGTCTTTTGACCCATGCCCCCCTGACGGAGGCGGTTACAGCTGCACGTGCTGTTGGGATCTCGCAGAGGGGACCTTCTCCCCAACCGAGCCCGTTACAGCTGCGGCACAGAAGCGACGAGCCGTTTGGCCATGGGACTGCAGCAAACTGGGAGTTGAAGGTGATAGACGTAGTTCGCCACCGACTGCCCTCCACTTTGGTGCCAACAGACAAAGAAATGTTGAATCTGCAAAGTTTGTTGCGTCCTGATCCGTAAGCTGTTTTGGGCTGGAGAGAGCTGATCGTCGCAATATGCACCGGAGCTGTTTCGTGTCTGTCCCGGTGCCTCTGAAAGCTGACCAGTAGCTGGAGCCTCGGCTTCAGGCGATCTGCTCCTCCGAGATGTGCGTGCCGCCGTGCTGGACGAGGTGCCAAGAAACGCGGGGCCTCCGGGGGTTGAGGGTCGCCGAGCAGTGGCAGGCGGACCGGATGCTGGACCTGGGCGAGGGGCTTGGTGGGCTCGAGATGCTCTGCTCGTGCGCATTGGTCGCCTTTTCTTTGCGCTTCTCTGGAGGCTTTGAGGACCAAATCCGTATCCTGCTCACCAGGCATTGCATTACAATTGCGTGATCTTGTGCCATCGGTGCTGGTGCTCCCGCAGGCGCATGCCTCGAACAGGGAGCGGGCGACAGCCTCTCGACACCCCGAGTGAGCGAACTTCGTCCTGTGGGAGTCAGGTCGTGGGCTTGAAATGCGCAGATATCCCAAGGACGGCGATGTTCAGCGCCACCTTCGGGATCGGAGTGCCGGGCCCTGACATGGTTGTTGGTGTAGGCCGGCATATCCCGGCATGTTATGCCTGCAAGCCGAGGCAGCACCTCGCAGCGGACTTCCTGGATGCCTACACCTTTGTGGCCGTAGGCCGTGTAGGGGGTGCCGCTCAGACGGTGGGGGGCCCCAGCCCCGAGCCCCGAATGCCCACAGCCCTTGTGCCACTGCATGCCACTGCATGCCGCTGCCTCAGCTCATTATACTTTATTCCTTCTAGGTTGAGCAGCGGGTGATTTGGGTGGAGGACGCTCGCAAGGCCCAGGCGCGGGTCTTTGGAGGGAGGGCACCTCAGTGCCTCAGCGCGGCCCTCGGCGCATGTCGAGGCACTCTTGGGGACGCTCCTCGCTTTGGAGAGCACGAAGGGGACGTCGCCGTGTAGCATTCTAGTCTTCGCAAACACCAAGGACAGATCCTCTGCCTTTTGCACCCCGCTTTCTCCTTCCCCCATTGAAAGGATGCGGTGCGGCTCATTGAAGAGAAGGTCCGTGCTTGGAGATTCCGGGTCTTCTCGATTCATGGAGACAAGAAGCAGGCAAGCTGTGCAAGCCTGGATGCATTGCGACATCATTGCGACGCATCCCATGCTTGGAGGATGCTCGAGAGAAGGCGCTGCAACTCTTCCGCCACCATGCGGAGGGCCGCAGCTCTGGCTCCAGGCGCCAGAAATGGGTGTGAGAGGCTGTGATCTTGAAAGAAGAGTTGAGTTTGGAGGGACTCGGGCTCGGCCGTGCTGGTGGCCACAGACGTCGCAGCGCGCGGATTGGACATCCCAGACATCACCTGCGTGGTGCACTATGACCTGCCAAGAAGGCACCGGGCCTGGGCCGGGGTGGGGGGGGGGGGGGGGGGGCATCCTTATGTTACTTATGTTTTATAGTTTGGGGTTTGGGGTTTGGGGGCCATCAGCTGGGCATGTGGCTTTTCCTCAATGGAGTCGGAGTTTCGTCGGAGTTTCGTCAGTGCTAAGAAAGAGTGGAGCTCCTGGACTGGCCCAGGATCGACGACTTCGTGCCGATGTCCAAGAGCCGTGAAGCTTTGCGAGCAGCATCCGAATTTTGTTGAGCCGTTGTTCACGCTGTTTTTTCTTTTTTCTGTTGTTCTTGAGGCATCGATCCGGCCGGACGGGCCGCCTGGGCAGGCCTTGCCCTTCCCCTCACATGGCAGCCTGCGGAGTCTGCGTCGAGACTTCCCCGGTCGAGGAACGGCCTCTCCATCGGTTTCGCCAATGCTCGGGCAAAGGGACGGGGCCTTAGATCGGGGAGGGCTGCGAGGATTGCGAGGCTCAAGCTGACCGGCTTGAGGACTGAGCAAGGAGCTGGTGAAGTGCCTGGCAGAAGCGGGTGCAAAGGCTGAGCTAGGGCATTTCACAGTTCACACGTTGACGAGCCGGTCTCGCTCAGATTCCACCCTGGCTGCTGGGCATGGCAATTTCCACCGGCGAAGACCTTGAGGTCTTGGAGGCGGGGCAGGCCAGGCCGGTGTGGAAGCGCAGCGGGGTTTGGGTGAAGGCTCTGGGGCAGAAGTCTTCTGGAGGCTCGGGTAGGGCCTCAGGGCATCGGACTTCCAAGCGTAGCAGACGTTCACGGCTCTCTTGGCTCTTGGAGGCTACGGAGCACAAGATGTCCGCTTGCAGGGTGCAGGCGCTCGGCACTCGGATCCTTGAATCCTCCGTGCTCTGGCACACTGTGCCAAGAGAGCTAGGTTCAGACGGCTGCCGAACGCCGTGAAGCGCAGAAGCTGCGAAGCTTCGCAGAGGAGCTGCGCCGGATTCTGATGGTAACACGATAGGCAGGCAGCACTTGGCACTAGATGAGAGCCTACACCTGGCATGCCTCGTATTTCAACTCACGTCTTTTGGCCATGAGACAACTCATCAGGACGCATACAGTGCTGCGATGCCGGACGGCTCCGAAGCACCTGCTTGAGCGAAACCGGGACCTGCCCAGTGACTTTTGCTGCCTCTTCTCTCTCTCTCTCTCTCTCTCTCTCCCTCTCCCTCTCCCTCCACAGGTTGAAGCTGCTGCGAACGTCGCATGAAAGCATGTAAATCCTGCATCCCAACATCCTGCAAAGCGGCTGTGCCCCGGGCAAATCCATGGAGTCCCGAGGCAAAAAAACATTCGGCAGGAACGCTCCTTGTGCCTACCATGCACTTAGCCGTAGCCCACAAGTTTCTCTCGAACGCAATCCAGCCACAGGTAGGCTTGCCTGGGTGCAACGCGTCGCAATATCTCCAGAAGCATGGAAACGGAACTGTGGCAAGCGGCCGAGAATAGGCGACATAACGACAGCTTCCCGACATCCAAGATGCTCACAGCGCTTTGCCAGGGGGGCTGTAATCCAACATCTGCCCCCCTGGTCCTTGGTTTGCGGTGAGAACCGGAGTCGCGACCCATGAGAATGGAAAAGCATGGGACGTCTGATCTCGTGAGGAAATATGCGAGGGCCAAATCCCAGGTGTGACGCAAGAGCAAGGGAGTGCCATCACAAATCGTGTGCCGCGGCAACAGGATGGCGGCGAGGCCACCCGACCGTCTTTGACAGGAGTGACAGAAGCAGTCGCTTCTTGTGCACACAAACCGTGCTGGCCTACGCTGCAGGCTGATCAGAGCACAGCGTGTTTCTCGCTTGAAGTATCTGCACGCAAGAAGCTGCATCAAAGTCAGATCTTGCTAGTGGTTTCGCATCAAACCGCATCAGGCTGTGGTGAATGAAAAGCATGCGAAATCTCAAGGCGTGTGTAGTCGTGTGTACATCCTTTAGCGACATGCGCATTAGTAACAACACAATGTCAGAATGACTGTTTCAATGTTACAGTTGCGCACGTCGGAACCAGATGCAAACAACGGGGGTGTTGAACACCCGCATGTGAGCATCAACAGGTCTTTGTTATGGGCACTGGGCTCATCTGGATGTTTGCACGCAGCATCGGTGCGCCAACTTTTCCAGCTTTCATCGAAGTCGTCTCGTCCTTCGAAAGCAAGTTGTATCTGTGCGCAGCCTCCAGCCATGTGCTAATTTGGCCCGTGAAGCTAAGTTGAGTCAAGTTGCAGGGGGTCGCCTGGTAGATGATTGGTCATCAGGTCTTCTCACAGTATCTGCCGTTCTTTTGGGGGGCGAACAGGGGCATGGTTCTGTCTGCAGTATTGTGCAATGTGCAACTTGAGGTGTTATGCGATTCGCACGGGGGTGGGGCCATGAGTCTCTCTCCATGAGAGACCTGTAGCATGGCACGCATCTTCTGCTGCCGCCGATGCCGCAGCTATCAGGCACACCAGATGCAGACTGCGCTCGACCACTACATACATACATACATACATACATACATACATACATACATACATAAATAAATACATACATAAATAAATACATAAATAAATAAATACATATATATATATATATGTGTGTGTGTGTGTATGTATAGACATACTTGACTTTCTAAGCGACCATCTCCAGTGCTAGGAGGTCAGGGAGGTGGAAGTTGAAGCCGCGAATCGAGGTCAACCTGCCTCGGCCTCAGAGTTCGGACGCGGGGCGGGGCACAGAAGATTTTTTCGGCGGGGAATCTGGGACTCTCTTCATCCCTCTGCTTTGAGCTCTGCTCTGAGAGGCTGTGGAGATCCGGCTGAGGCCATGACTCTTGTTTCAGTCTGCTGGGAAGGCATGTGATGTGACGCTGCCGGCGAAAGTGGATGCTCTCTTGGCTCCAAAGCACGGCCAGGGTTGAGGGCTTCAGGTCCGATGGAAGTCCGCGCTTTCGACGGCCCACTGCCAGCAGCAAAGACTGGATTTGGCCTCTGCAGAAACGATGAGCCTTGGACAGCTAGTGTGCCCAAAGCAAAGTAGGTAGAGGATCCGCATGGCCGCATGGGCTTTCGGCTGTCCAGGCTTGCCTTCTGTCTAGGGGCTGGCGCTGCCACAGGCACGGCCCTTGCATCGCTTGCGCCGGCCGATGAAAAGGGCCCCTCCCTCTCTGCGCCCACGCGTCAGGCGCGCCGGTCGGCGGTCTTCCCGCAAGCGTGCCCGGCTGAGCCTTCAAGTCTGCAGCCTCGGGGTTGCCACAGCTACTCGTAGGATTTCGAGTCAGATGGAAGGCTCCCGCGAGCCCTCGGACCCCCAGCAGCGCGCCTGGGTGAGCGAAATGTTGCGGGAGGAGACGCTCGGCTTGCAGGGCGGTTTCTCTGTGTGTCACAGTTTGGGGCAGCTTTGGCCTTAGCTTGGGCTCTGAGGACGGAAGAGGGCATCCTGCAAGCAGTGGAGCGGTACTTTGGCCAAGAGACGCAATCTCTTTGGAGACTCGGGGGCTCATGAGTGCTCTTTCTGAGGCTTCGTGAGAGGAACTTGTTGTCCAGAGTTTCTTGGAGAAATCCAGGTTCGACCGTCTTTGAGTTCCAGCCACTCTCTCTGATGAATGCCAGGTCCATGACTACACCAGTGTGGTCATCGCGTTCTCTCGCAAGCACTATTGGGAAAGGGCTTGCGATGTCCTTTCCGAGATGCACTACCGCGGCTTGGATTCTTACAGGCTACAGCGGCCGTGAAGAAACATGGCAAGACAAGCCAGGGAGCAGTTCTGCAGGTAGTCTGGCAGCAAAGCCGGTGGCCTACAACAACGCCATGAATGCTTGCTTAAGCAGGGAGAACTGGCAGCAGCCCCTCCGCCTCCTCCGAGAGATGCGACGCTTGGATAAGTCTGAGATGCTGTGTCGTCGGTGCCATGTGGATGTCGCATAGTTCTTAGGAGAGCGGGCGGTGCCTTGTGACTTGTTCTCTTACACCAATGCCCTGACAGCCTCTGGCCGTATGGGATCCTTGGTTCTACTCCTACTGTCTCGAAAAAGGGCCGCGGACTTGAGAAGTCTCTGGCGGCCACGGTGAGGTATGTGGCAGGAGGCGCTGCGGCTGCTTTGGAACATGGTCGGCGACAAAGTTGCTCCCGACATCGTCGCCTTCAACGCCGCGGGAGGCTTAGACTTGGCCGGGGCCGAGCCGAGCCTTCGTGAACTGCTCAAGCTCAGGCCTTGGCCGCCTGTGAGAGCGCCGGCCGTTGGCAGTGGTCCCTTCAGCTCACGAAGGCAGAGCTCCCTGGGTTTCTGGGCCCCTCTGCCAAGAGCTCCCTCTGCCTTTGGCTTGGCTGAGGCCCTGGGGCAAGCCAAGCTGCAGCCAGTTCCTTGCATGCAGAGAGCCCAGCTGAGGTTGTCGGTTTCTTAGATGCGGCCTAGGATGACGTGACTTACCGATCGATCACGAGAGCCCTGGAGATTCCTGCCTGCACATGACATTCAAATGTGTTTTCTCGGGTCATCTGTCGACCGTGTCTCGCCAAGCCACGTCTCCAAAACCTGCTCTGAGGGCTGCGGAGCAGCAGCTGAGAGAGCTGCGCCTGGAGTTGCCCTCACCCGTGAGTCCGGGAGGGCCCTCGCATCAAGGCGTGGAGTTCGAGGGCGTTGTGGGCGCGATGCGAAGCCTCAAGCTGCACACATCTCTCTCCTGCTTTGCAGCTCCGCTGTGACTGGCTTTAACCCCCACCGTCGTGGCAGTGGCTGTAACGGCTGATCAGTCGAGGACCCGCGCAGCTGCACTACTGCCTCGTGCAGTGTGATGAGCAGGGCTTGGAGGGCTGGTCGCTGGCAGCTGGCAGCAAGCACCGGCGCTGGGCGGCAGGGCAGCAACGAGTCGCGGTTCGCCAAGACAACCTGCGCGGGTGCTTCTGCATCAACCCAAGGACACCCTCTTGCACCTCGGCGGGACGGGCGTTTATTTTCGTAAGCCCTAGGAGTCGTGGTTCGCTTGCAATTTCAGGCTCGGGCTGCTACAGTGCTTCATGATGGATGGACAGTGGCTGCGCGCCATGGCTGCTACTAGTAGAAGGTTCGGTTAGAATTGTCGACAGCTCTGAATCCCACTGTGTTTTAACCGTAGCTTGTCGGTGAAGTTGTGGAGAGTGATGACCTTACCTTGCGCTGACCTCTTCGGGGAGCGACGCGGGACAGCCCCACGTCACCGAAGGAAGCAGTCAAGACACCTTGCGATTGCTTGTTGATTGGTGTCCCATGGTTGTACTGCATGTGTTTCCTTGCATGTGCGTGCCCGACTGGCATTCGTACCGGCCTCAATCCTTTCCCGAGCCAGTTCAAGGTTGCGGGCTGCACTTAAAACCAAGAAGCTGCGTCAAAAGCGAAGTGCTCCGTGTAGCTCCTGGCAGCGAGAGCTTCTGGTACAGTCTGCACCATGTTTCAGAGCCGATCGAGTCTTCATTCTATGGAACGACAAGCTTTGCCGAGCCACGAACAAGCTTCGGAGTCAAGAAAAGTGCTCGTTGAAAGGTTGCCTCAGCGTCAACATCACCAGTGTCCAAAGTCATTTGCAGATGTTCGACAAGAAACTCATCAGCTCTAATGTCAGCCTGGTCCAGCAAAGCCACAGCAACGGTTTCGACCATCGAAACGCACGCTTGAAAGTTCCATGACCAGGCTTCGCAATCTGCAGGTTGTTTGGAACAAGTCTCGGGAAGTGGCAGCGGAAGCTTTGTTGTAAAGTAGTCCTCACCTCCTAGGGCCATGTCGTGCTAAAAAAGCGCTTTCAGCTCCGCTACCATGTGGAAGGACATGGTATCAGGGATCCACGCAAACTACTCTAAAGTAGCTTGTGGAGCTCAGTCAAATTCTGAAGCCAGAGTATCGCTGAAGTGTGTACGTCTAGTATCGTCTAGTGTAGTGCGTGGTGTGTGTTTGTGCGTGTGTGTGTGTGTGTGCGCGCGCGCGCGCGTGTGTGTGTGTGTGTGTGTGTGCATGTCATCCCTGTAACAAAGGGTTAGTAGAGTGAAGTGTTTGCTTGCTTGTTCATGTCAGTTGTGCGATCACAGACAGGACTCAGGCCAAAGAAGACATCTGTCTGTTGAGTGTGATATGATGCCGGGACACTGGGATCAAGTATTTACAAGGAGCTTGGGACACAGTGTTTGTGACATCCTATTCCTTCGGTGTGCATGGTTGTCCTTGAAAGGGCGTCGAGACATGTAGACCAGACAAAGACAAAAGCAGCAAAGTAGAAAAGCGAGACAAACAAAAAAGAGCCACATCACCGACGACATTCCAGATCGGGAGA